GATCAAGGATCCCCGCCTCTGATCTCCTAGCTTTATCCTTATCCCCCGTCTCATCCTACCCCATCGACATATGGGAGGCGTTCCGGCTACCCCCTCTAGAGTCGGATTGGTCCCAGACGGTATTGTATAGCTATCATTGCACTTCCATGCTACAAAGTCATCTTCTGCGCTGCATACTCTGTCGTCCAGGCAAGCTCGCCATGTGTTTTTGTCAGCCTGGCTGCTAGCGATGCAAATCAGCTGTCATTTTGGTGTGAATGAAAGTGCGGCGGACCACCACATGCTGCCGCATCCACCATGGCTGCTACCAGCTTTGCTACAACACAAGAGGGGGCGATGTCAGGGCACCGCACCAACGTTGTCGCGCTGGCCGCACATGAATGATGTTTGAAAAGGTCCACGTGTTTTACAATGTTATGCAAGTTGAAGGTGACTGCAACATGATCCATATTGTAATGGATGACCGCGACATGGTGCATGCTGCACCCGCGTGTTTGCAACACCATGCAAGCTCGTGGTGATCGCAACATGATCCATGTTGCAATGGATGACCGCGACATAGTCCGTGTTGTGATGATCCGACGGCTACATGAGACACATCCAGCGACTGGCAACCCAGTTGCCAAAGAACAGCCGACCAAATGCCTAGCAAGGTGTTTTTTATGTGCGACTAATTTAATAAGAGGCGACTAAATATAATATCTTCCCAGTTGACCGATGATACAATACTACACTGCTGTAGTGCACTGTTGTGGTAGAGAACTCACCGGCGGTGAACTTCCAAAGTGCGACAACCTGCCAAATCTGAAGTTTTAAATACAACGGTTCGTTACATTAGTGGTTGATATTTCTCCAGACTACTTTCAGAGTGGGAGTACCACCTACCGAAGCTGAAGTTTTTAAAATTTGTGGGGCCAATATCATCTCGGGGAGTCGTAGAGATGTCCACTTGAAATTTGAAGGACAGACAATGCAGAAGTGAAGATGTAGTGGATTGCACTGCCAGGCAAGCAAATCATTAACCTGATCATGCTGTGCTGGAGTTCTAGTCATCGGCTTCTCTGCTTTTAGGAGTAGTAATACTAGTATATTGGCAATGGCAAGTCCACCCCAGTTTGCATATGATCCATCTAAACCGGCAAAGGAGATGTGCCCATAGAAATTAAGAAGCCAGTACACGGTTCACACCCCAATAATTCCCACTGGTGCCTATAAATACCCGCACGTATGCACACACCAACACCCACAATCACATCAACTCAAGCCTTCATCTTTCTAGCCATCTTCTCTCTTACAGTCCTACTCAGCATGGCTTCCATGGGGTTCAGCTACGCACAGGTACACGTGAAGCAAGAGAGACTGATGAGGAGGATCAGCGACAGCAAGAGGGCTTCGGCAACGGCGACGATAGACAAGTCGATGACCCGAGAAGAAGAGAAGATGAAGGAGCGTTTCATGGGTGAAGAGGAGAAGAAGGCCACTTGCAACTCATGGACCGCCGGGAGGGTGCATCCATGCACGTCTAAGACGTCTTCCCCGGCGGCTGCGGCGCCAAAGGGTGGGCACCGATGAAGCTGGACGGTCATGGGGTAGTAATTTGCTATGTGATACTCCCTCTGTTAGCGATATATAAACGCTCTTATATTTCTTTACAGAAGAAATACTTTTGTCCTGTTCTAGATTTGTATTATCGTGATCATGTTATATTCTTGTTTTTTTTAGAGAAAAGGCCAAGGCCCGACTTTATAAATAAAGCCACACGGCAGCGTCACGAATACCCAAGGTTCACACAATCACAGAGCCACAAAGAGAAGTTAAAAGGACCCAAAGTACCAACGATACAGGCAACTGCCAAACACGGCACGCAGGCCGGGGAGAGAGGGAACCCTAAGTCCCGCAAACTACAGCACCAGAATTATACGCCATGATTCGTCCCGGAGATCTAAGAAGCCGAAGCCCGAATTTTTGCGATGAGCAGGTCCAGGGCGTCCCGATCTGGCTCCTTAGTCAATAATCTCCACTGCTGCAAGAATATACATGATTTGAAAAGAACATCAGCAGGCTTAGAAGGGAATGTAAGCTCAATAGTAAATTTGTTTCTAATGGTCCATAGAGCCCAACATAAGGCTCCCAAGCCGACCCAAAATACCCTCTTGGTGACCCCTACCAAAGATTTGGCTAGGGATCTAATATCGGAGAAAGAGGAGGGATTTCAGGAAACCCGAAGCCAGGATCGGACGCAAGACCAAACTAATTTGGCAAGAGCACAGTTGAAAAAGATGTGATTGGAGTTTTCCAACGCCCCACACAAGTTACAGAATTCCGAGTCCGGCCCATTGCGTTTTTTGATCTGATCGGCAGTAGGAAGGCGACCACGGAAGGCTTGCCAGAGGAAAATCTTGATCTTAGGAGGGACCTTGGATTTCCAAACACAAGAGAATCGAGCCGAAGTAGAACCACCAATGAGTCTAGAATACAACGATTTGACCGAAAATTTACCAGAGGCCGCATGTGGCCAGACCACGGAGTCGTCCTCCTCCGAGAGCACAGGGAAGAGGGCAGAGAGACTTTGCCATTCTTCCAACTCTTCAGGAGACAGGGCCCGACGAAAAGCCAAGTCCCAGTTATTAGCAGCCACCTCCGCGATGGAGATATGCGGATTGGGGCAGTAAGAAAACAAAACAAGAAAGCTAACAGCCAGGGGAGCATCCCCAGACCACCAATCTAACCAAAAACGAACAGCAGTCCCATTACCCACACAAAACTTGACGTGCTCCAAAAAAATCGGCCGAACTTTAATAAGGGCTTTCCAAAACTGCGAACCACGCCGCGCAGGGGCAAACATGGGGTTGGAATTAGAAAAATATTTAGCCTTAAGAATCGAAAACCATAGCGCATCGGCCCCCACCGTCATAATTTTCCACCACCACTTAATGAGCAGACAGATATTCATCACCCGAGTGTTAATAATGCCTAACCCCCCAAGGTTTTTAGGCTTGCACATAAGCTGCCATTTAACCAACCTATACTTTCTTTTGTTATCAGCAGAATTCCAATAGAAGCCACCCCTATGTTTGTCGAAGCCATCATGCACACCATTCGTGAGACGATAGAAGCCCATAAGGAACATCGGGAGAGAGGATAGGCAAGAGTTGATGAGAGCCACTTTGCCGGCATTGGTATTATATCTACCCCTCCAAGGAAGCACCCTATTCCCCACTTTAGCAACCACCGGAGCGAAGTCTATCGCGTGAAGCAGACCAGGGGAGATAGGGAGACCTAAGTATTTGAAAGGAAAGGAACCTAAGGAGCAGTTTAGGAGCCTGGCCACCCGCAAGGCCTCCGCCCGGTCAACCCCCGTCACCATAACCTCACTCTTGGCGAAGTTGATCTTAAGACCAGAAACAGCTTCGAAACACAACAAAATGAATTTCAGATTGGCAATACAGGCATTGTCCAACTCCACCAAGATGATTGTGTCATCCGCATATTGCAGATGAGAGACCCCTTCCGAAAGTAGGTGAGAGACCACAGGAATAATGTGTCCACATCGAGCCGCTTTGGAGAGCATACAGGAGAAGGCGTCAGCCACAAAGTTGAAAAGAACAGGGGAGGCAGGATCCCCTTGGCGGAGGCCCCTCCCATTTGCAAAGAAGTTGCTAATAGCGCCATTTGTTATATTCTTGTCCGTTAAGGAAATAAAGCATGTTTGCGTCGTGATTAATTTAGTAAGGAGTACTTGGGCCCACACAACCAATGTTTAGTAGATGAATCATGTGTCTAACTGAAATGCAATCCGTCCGCCATACAGCATTCATATGCACAAGGAAGAATGCATTTTCTCTTGTGCATGGGAGGTCTCATGCATGGATTAGTCCATTGATTATCACTCCGTATTTTTGGGTGGGTCTTCACATGCAGTTTTTGGCAAAAGTGACATGCTCCACCCATCTGATCTCCCATGCCTTTCGTCTTAACTTTCAATCTGAATCTAGTGTATCTTTTGAACCGAAAGTCCAATTTACATTTTGTTTTGAATATTTGTTTTTCATGTGATGAGGGCTTTCAAATAAGACCACTCTTGAATACGTTTTGACAAGTTTTAAAATTTTCATGAAATTTCATCTGTTAAAACTTGAAAAGAAGAGGGATAAAGTCACCAGGTTTTGAATTGTAAAACTTAAAGCTCTAAATCCTAAACCGTAAAAACAAATGAAACTTGATAAAAACTTAATATTATAACTATTAAGTTTTAATATTTGAAATTAGTAAAATTTAAAAGTCGTCAAAATGTTCGAGTGACCTTGTTCGGAAATCCTCGTCACAACAACCGAAAATATGCAAATGAAAATTAATTTTGACTTTCAATTAAAAAATATAGTATATTCAAATTTGAAAGCTAAAATAAACAGCATGAGATGTTGGATGGGTAGAGCATGTCATCCCTGCCAAAAGTTATATTCGGGACCCATCAAAAAGCAATCAATGCCGTGCTTGCATAGGGGATAAGAGCATCTTCAACAGGCGCCCAAAAAGAGTTTCGCACACTAAAAATTTGTTTTTTGGCGCCAGACAGCTCCAACAGAAGCTGTAGCGCTAAAAGTTTTTGGGCGCGCTGGAAAACGCTATCACGCGCAGCATATTTTGGGCATCGGATTACGTGCGCTTCATAATTTGCATTGTCTGCTTTTTGGGCGCGCGTTTTTGGCGCCTTGGTCCGGGTGCATTAAAAGTGCTACAGTGGCGCGCTATAACTTTTATTGGACGCGGAATTTTTATGTGGCCGTTGGAGATGCTCTAAGCATGCATGCATACGAATCTTCGACCAAAGACTCCTTCGTTTCTAAATATAAATCTTTTTTACAGACTTTAAATATGAACTATATACGAAGCAAAATGAGTGAATCTACGCACTAAAAAATACCTCGCGCGTCCATCCCTGTGTCTGTGTGAGACAGCGATAGATAGATGGGCCCCATTCCCTAAAAAAAAAGATAGATGGGCCCCATTCTCAGCACGGCGGGCCGGACGATTTCATGTGGATGCATGCATGCATGCGTGTATTTATGTCTCTTGTTTTGTGCGCAAAAAAAAAGAAGACAGCTTGACGATCGGCATGATCGAACGGAGCTTTTCGAGGAGATGTAGCCGTACGTGGCGGAGCCATGCCGGAGCCGGGGAAGACGCGCGTCCGACGACGGTTTCTTGGGTGGCTGGGTGAATCGAATGAGCACGCCGGGATATGGATAGTATTCCCTCCCGGCCGGCATCGTTTTGTCCGGCGAGCGTGCTTGGGAGCCCGGCTGTCTCCGTTCACCGTTCACAGGCGGACGGCTGAAATTGCTGCGAAACTTCGGGCACCATCAGAGGAAGACTCCCGGCGATCGAGCTGTGGCGCTGCACAGCACGTACGCGCTCTCTTGTCCGGGACCAGTCGATCTCCAGACCACGTACGATACGATCGAGCGTGGAATCGACGGCATTGTCGATGGCTCTCCGATGAGATCGGAGGACCGGCCGTGGGATCGAAATCAACAGCGGCTGCGCTGGTGGGAGCACGACCGTGGCCGTGGGGTCAATTGGGTGCGCGTGGACGTGCCGATTGACATGGCCGGCCGGGTACCGGAGACGGCGCGAACGGCGGCAGCTCGAGAGGAAGGAGGAGATGTGGCCACGGCCGGCGATTACTTGTCGGGAAGTGATGACGCCGGAGCTAGTAAAGGTTGGTGCTTTGGTCGGAGTCGTCGGACATCCGCGGCTGGACTTGCATTCTTCTCCGGTGATGCGAGTAAAAGGATGAAACGAAACGTGTGTCGCGACATGCACTCGATCGAATCGATCGTTTTGCGGTCTCGCGGCCGCACGTACGTTTTAAGAAATCACACAGAATCAAGCGGCTGAATCGCGCGCGATGGAGGCGACGTTGGTTCGAGACGACGCAGGGGCGCCGATAGATTCATGGTGGAGATTTGGTACTTGTCGACCGTGCGGAGGATCAAGCAGTCCCAGCGCCTCTTGTTCAAGCAGGAGGGCAAGGAGCTCGAGGACGACCGCGGCACGGAGCACTACCCCATCGTAGAGGGATCCCACGTGCTCATCGTCCTGCCGGATGACTCTCCCGTCGTCGCCGCCGCCGCTGTCGTTCACGTAGTCGTCTCCGGGCATGCACCATTAATCGAGTCGTTATGTTGCATGCATGCATGGTACTCCCTCCGTTTCTAAATATTTGTCATTTTAGATATTTTAAATGAACTATCACAACGGATATATATAGACATATCTTAGAGTGTAGATTCACTCATTTTGCTCCGTACGTAGTAACTTGTTGAAATCTCTAAAAAGACAAATATTTAGGAACGGAGGGAATACGTACGTACCACTATCATTTCATTTCTTGAGTTAACGATCCTGAAAAAACATGATTACACATGAAGATCTATTCCTTTGCTCAATGTTACCGAACTATGCGTCTCTTACTTTGGGCAATTATCAACGGAACAATATTCAGGGAACTCCAGCAATTAATCTGTACCTTTTTTTTGT